CTTTTTTCATTTCACGTCGTAACGTCCGGGTTCGGTGAATCGTAATCTAGATGGAGGGAATGCGCCGCATCTCTTTCGAATTTTTCGCATGCCTTCGGTAATCTCGGTTCCAGTGTCGAAATGCGTTTGCTATATATAGAGAGAGGCGAGAACGATTTCCTAGATCGTCAGGGTGTGTTCGAACAAGGATCGAACGAATAGCATCTCTAATTCTCTAACCTAATTCCCATCTGCCTATCGCGTATCGCACGCACACTACACCTCTGATCATCACTGCGGAAACAAACCTCGACCTCGACCTACTGTAGAGTATCACCATGTTCACACCAACTCCTCAGACTCAGGAAGAAGCTTTACCTTGATCACCCGTGAGCTCTACTTCAAGCGAGACGCTTGTCCGAACCTTGAGTGAGTCCGACCCCCCCCCCCCCACCCCCCCCCCCCCCCCCCCCCCCCCCCCCCCCCCCCCCCCCCCCCCCCCCCCCCCCCCCCCCCCCCCCCCCCCCCCCCCCCCCCCCCCCCCCCCCCCCCCCCCCCCCCCCCCCCCCCCCCCCCCCCCCCCCCCCCCCCCCCCCCCCCCCCCCCCCCCCCCCCCCCCCCCCCCCCCCCCCCCCCCCCCCCCCCCCCCCCCCCCCCCCCCCCCCCCCCCCCCCCCCCCCCCCCCCCCCCCCCCCCCCCCCCCCCCCCCCCCCCCCCCCCCCCCCCCCCCCCCCCCACCCCCCCCCCCCCCCCCGCCCTATACACACTCCGGCATTGGTCGTACAATAGCCTCGCCCACGCCATCTCTCCATCAAATCATCAATCATCAACGATACCAACATCGTACTAACCCAACCTACCTTTCTCGCACACCGATCTTGCAAATTGTAGATACGCAGTGGACGTACTCGATCGATACGTCACCTCTAAACGTCAGGCGGGACGGTCGGACCTCGAAGTACGAGTAAAGTTGGGGTCGTTAGAGAGGAAGTTAAGGGGGGAGCCTAATGTGAGTTTGTCCTTCTCCTTTTTCTTTCCCCTCTTCATATCCTCTCCCGCTGTATAGATGATAGGACGTAAAAAAGGAAAGAGCGATTGGCGGAGACTGACTCGGACTACAATTCGGTCACTTCTTTCGGATCCTATAGGCTCCACCTGCTTGGCTAGACAAACTATTCCAAGAGACCCACTCCCGCTCGAACCTCTCATCCCCATCCCCATCCTCATCCCCATCCTCGTACTCATCCTCAGGGCGTCTCAACTGGAAATCCCTCCCTCTTCCCCTTCGTCGTTCTTCGGCCGATTCTACCAACTCGAGCTGTAATTCAAGTATCAACATCCGACGATGGGCGGAAGGGAGGGAATGGGACGAGGCGCCGCCGGCTTATTATAGCTATTAGACCCGGCTTGGCTGGGAGTTGCTTGCTAGGAGGCTGCGGTGCAGAGGGAAGGGCAAAGGGCAGGGGTTGATGTGCAGCGAGGATCGGGGATCGGGGATGGAAGGTCCGAGGGGATCAATTATATGGAGGAGACCCGAAGCTAGAAAGAAGGCAGAAAGAAGGATCTCCGCCAGTAACCTTTCTCCAGGCTCGGGCGATGAAATGGATGATCCAACACCACACCCCACACCAACACACTGTATCGAGTATTGTAGAGTATTGAACGGCCGGTGATCATACTATGACCGGCACATAGAGCTCCGTCGACTCTTAACATTATTGTAATCGTATATGTAAATGCGATTCCTCGCGAAATGACAATCTTGTTCAATAATGTTGAATATGTTGTCTACGTCTTCCTACTGTAGGGGCTGTCAGCGTCGATCACTAGGGTAAGGACGTCCGGTGCCGGCCCGGAAACCCTCGATATACACTGTCGTCAATTTAGACGATCGCAGCCTCGAAGGCCTTCAAATCGAGGAGGTAGTCTTGTCTCGCCTTGGCTTCCTTGTGAATTGTGTCGTAGCAATCCCGCTAGACGTCATCTTCCCTCCATCTGTAAGTGGACACCAAACACGTCAACGCAGTTCCGTTCCGGGACTTGCTAGACGACTTACGCTCGAAGACTCTGTCGCTGCCCTAGATCGCTCCTCGTCTCCGCCAACATCCTCAGATACATCTCTGCTAGTACGAGACTGCCCGGTATACCCGGATGCAGCTCGTCCTTCAACCACGAATCGTCCTGGCCGATCATGTGGTCCGCCCAGTGCAAAACGTCCAGCCCGAGCTCTTGTGCCACCTGCACCTGAGCTCGTCTCAATTGCACGACCCGAAGTCTGGTAAAAGGCGCTCGTCTGACCCCTCCAGCGTTCATGTTGGCGGAACGGAACCATCCTCCGGCGTTTTCACGAGGGTCGTGGATGGTCCTGATGACCACCTTGGCCTGCGACCATGCCGTCTGTACCCGCTCGACGTACATCCTCAGCCGGTTCTTGAAATCCTCCAACCATTCTTGGGGCAAGCCTATCTCGTCGTCCGACGAGTGTAGGTCATACGCTGTACGCTGATATCTAGCCAGTTCCCACAGGCCGAAATTGATAAAGACGGCGTGGTAGGTATCAGGTTCGGCGCCCCACATGGTCTTGACCTTTTCCAGCCTGTCTTGCGTTCGCCAGGCTGTGACCTCTTGGTGCGACGCTCGATCTTCCCATAGATCGTCGTCGTCCGTGCCGTACATGTGCATAAAGTCGACCCGGAGTTGAGCTTGGGCGCGCATCTTTGCTTTCGCCACCAGCTCGACTTGGGCTTCGTTGCGCCCACTGCTGAGAAATTCTGGGGATTGATTGACATCGACGTCGTTGGCAAAGTCAAACTCTTGCTCAGTGGTTCCCGGCGGAGGCACGATGGGGATGACCATCATCCTCGGCGCCCCCTGAGTCCATCCAAACTCCTTCAGTACCCTCGAGTCGTCCATATCGCACTCGGAAAAGTACCTGGCATCGTTCGTGACCTCGTCTCGCAAGTACATGAGCATGTACCGATCCACGCTGTCTCCAAGGATGAGGGCGCGTTTGCCGGCGAGGTCCCCCAAGACGGGCGATCGGCTCTCGATAGGAGAACGACTGGGCTCTTCTTCTGATGTCTCAATCTGTCGGCCCTCTTCAGCTGCGGCTCGATCGAGCTGTCGAAGAAGCGTTACATAGGCCATCGTGTTGTCGTGTTGTCGCATAAAATGCTACTGCCAACGGTGCGGATCTCGTCACATCGCATGTCGAGGCGCTCGTCCCGTTCTGCACTGACAGTGTAGTACGATGCGAATGGGTCATTGCGGTCCAAGCGCATGACTCCCCCGCCGGAGAACCAGGCTGATGGAGGACTCGGAGGATCCGTAGATCGTGACCATCGATCCCAGTACGACGTCGATGATGGCGGGACGAACCGGATCGAGATGGTTTCATCCAACGATACGGCCAGCCAACAGAACAGAATTATGCAAAGCGTGCATAGCCCCAGCACTTCGATCTTGCGATGGGGTATTCCGACGACATAGGCCATCACGGGAGGTTGATTGCAGCAGGTCTTGCGAAGCGCAAGCTGGTGCGACGCTCGCATGAGGAAAGACCGATCGAGGGCATCGACTTTAACCAGGTACTTCGACAGTGCCACTCGAGCCAGAGGATTACTTCGGAAGACGAAAGATACTCCGGAGGTGGAGCCCCGAACCTAAAAGTCTCGGGAAGAGGAAGCGAATATGGTTCCATGTGATCTAACGAGGTACGGCAGGAAGTAATTTCCGATCAGCCGCGCTTGAGTCGCAACCGGAAGCGAACGATGTGAAACGAACAGGAGAGCAAAGAGCTCGAGCTGATGCGCCGATACAGTGCAAGCTAGCGGTGAGGTCGTTCAGAAGTCGCTGAATGTAACGGCTCTGGACTTGTCAACGGGTGTCCTGGGATGCCCGAAAGCTCCGAACAGAGCTGAACCTGTCGCTCCGAAGCAGGACAGGCGCGCAGTCTCGATCCCGTTCACTTTCTCCTTTATTGCGATGGATTGTGATGAACTAGCCCCCACTTCATCGGCTCGGTCTACATGCTCGCGAAATCTCATATCGTTACATCATCCAAGGGTTCCGAACCCAGCTGACTAAGCTGATGAGCGACTTGCCGGATGGCCAAGAGTTCCTGCTCTCTCCCCGGCAAAAAAGCGTCTTCGAACGGGATTGTCAACGGCCCATCATCATCCGGGTTCACTTCTGTTCCTTCTTCTGTGTACTGCTTCTCGATCGACAGGCATCGCGCCTCCCAATCGAATACGTATGACAGACGTTCGAGAGATGGTTCCGTCAAAGCATCCACAGGGAGTCGCTGCAGTTGCGAAAATACATCGACTCGTCCTTTATGAGAGTCGTGGTACTTGAGCTGGGTACGGACGGAGATCACCATGTCAGCCGCCGAGTTGGATAGAAGCGCGACGGGATGCTAACCATGTTCGCGTGAGCGAACCCCGGCTCTGGATGATATCTCGTATCGTCTGGCGCATCCGGCGGTGTCAACCCCCACTGAAGCATCAAAGACCGCCTGTTGAGCTCAGTTCGTTCGACACAGTGGAGTGGCAACGACTCACCTGAAGCATTGTGTGCCCACAGAACTGCTCTTGTCTGGTACCGTTTCGGTCTAGGTATCCACCCAGAGGCGAGTAAGATCGACCACTAGTCGGAGTCGGCAAGCCCAGAATCTTGAAGGCGTATCTCCAGGTGTCTTTGTCGCCGTAGCTAAAGTGATACCAAAAGTCGCCCTGCGTCTGCATCCGGTCTGCGAGCAACAGTACGGCTTGATTCCAGCCAAAGTTGCCCGTCCGATCGAATAGCACCTGGCCCGTCTCTTGAGCCCAGTCACCTCCACATGGCTCGCCGATGATACGCCAGATCGCATTGGCAGCTTCGATCGAAACCACGGTGGTCCTGGTAAGCCTGTCGTCAAGCCTTGCCATCGGACGACTACGCACAATGATCCTTGTAGATGTCTGGCCAGAAAACGCTGCCTTGACTAGCATACTCGACTGCATCAAAGTATTGCGAGATGTTTTGCAGCGGAATGCTATCCGAGTCGATGTACAAGAATTCGTCGAACGAGTTCCGCAAGAAAGCCCTGCCCTTGATGTCTGGATGTGGGAGAAGTAGAACATTCATTCAGCCTGAGGTTCCGGTGAAACTGGCTGTTTTCGGTCGATCACATCGTGTGCCATGGTATACATACAGTGTCGTTTCGCCCCAGTCTTCTTGCCTTGAATCTGCGGTCAAGCTTGATCAGTCTTGGTACAACGAGACCGAATCGCCCTACACTCACTGTTTTGAACGAAATCTTTCCGAACCTCTCGATCATCGCCTTGTCTCGCTCATCAATCAACTCGTCGGCGAACGAGAATATCTCCACGGGGATCTGGTTATGATAGACGTTCCTGACGAGATCGAGCGTCAAAGCGACCCGTCTCATCGTGCGCCCATTCCCGCCGGTCATGATCATCCCGCGAGTCTTTTTCTGCTTCGTTCTAGTCTCGGGCCAGATGACAAATTCTCCTCGTTTGTGAGCAGCTCGAAGCCAATCGACCAAGTCTTGCCTTGCGCGCTTGATGTCCCCGGTCGTAACCGAGGACCAGTACGCTTGTTGATCGACGTGGAAAGAAGTCTCGTTTCTCCCTCCCAGACCCGTTGGGCAGAGCGCTTCACCCTGCCGGGCCATGTCCTCTGCGCTGGGGATGGGAACGTTGATCCATTCTTCGAGTCGGGTGTCCAGCGCGATCCATTCTTCAGCGATGTTCGACCATCTCCACGGTGTGGGAATACCATATGCCGCTTTATAGTCGACGCCGACATGGTTGTGCCATCCGGTGAATAGGATTACTACGCTGATGGTAATGAAAACGGCGCAATGGATCCAGCGTGAGCGAGATCGATTCGCCCAAGGTGCTGTCTGTAACATGCTTTCCAAGGATATTCCGAGGGAGATGGACTAGCCTCGATCGGATCGCCCGAATGGATAGTGTCGGTGAGAATCATTCTGCGGTCCCGGCTTACAGGTATATCAGGCTCCTGTCGACCTGAAGGCTCCCGCTGCGCTCCGGAGACGAGACGAGCCGTAGCAATCGAGCGATGGCACTATAGAACATATAGGCAGAGGCCGTCAGAGGCAAACACCCACCCATCGACCAGGCGGGAGCCAAGACGACAGATATCTGTTCAGCGCCGGCGCTCTCACGATCAAGGTTAAGGTTTCGGCGGCGGATTGATCCCGTTGAACTCGGTCTTCAGGAGAGGCGGGAGGTTCGTGTCCTGTATGCGTTGACAATGTTGGGGGGGACACGTTTGATACAGATCATAGCGTAGTCGGCATGGACTAGGACATCAACTTGGGTTTAGGTTACCAGGTCCTGCATGTCCGACCCAAAGACCCACGTATGATACGTACGATGCCGGTCGCACCGTTGTGTCAGTCGACGATGGCTGAAACGGGAGATACGAGTGGCGCGCGGAAAAGCAGCCACGAGGTCATAGGTTGACCCCATAGACAGCAGACTGGCAAGCCAAAGTGCGAGAAGAATTCACCCGGAACCGAATGGAGATTTTTCCATCGCTACTAACCCGCCAGACTCATCGCTGCGCTCGTGTAATAGCAGGAAAAACAATCGGCGGCATAGCAGCCTGACCGAAAAAGCGTGTGATCATCCGCGCTCGGGCAGTTTTTCTTCCGATCCCGCTATCGGCTTTGTCGCATGCTTCACCCGCTACCTACTTGGGTCCGAGAAGCGCTGCCAAGTTGTAACACTATAGGCCTTGATTGTTGTTGTCATCGAGCTGGGGCGAGTCTGGTATAAAGGTAGCCTGCCGTCCGTCCACGATGCGATTCGTCTGTGAGCTGCGAGATGGGCGCTCTGCAACGACATGTACGGCGGGATCATCCATAGCAATCGCCACGAAATTGATACCAGAAGGATGGCAAGACAATCACTCTCTCCGATCGAGCAACTCAAGCCTCGGACGAGCGCTCGGAACCTCAGTGGCCTGTTGCGATACATCACTGCAGCGCTGGCACTGCTTCTGACGCTCAACTCCATCACCCATTTCAACACGACGAGCGCACCTTTTCAATGGTTCTCGCTCCTGCTCCCATCGACGTCGAACGATGGCCTCCATCCGACATACTTGCGCCACCTGGCCTCGTCTCTACAAAAGACTGAACATGGCGGCCTGTCCCCAAAGTTGGGGCTGAATATCGGTCGGTATGCAAGAGTCGATCCACTCTACCCCTCGGGTTATCAATGGATCGACTCGGACACCCGCGAACCGTTCCACAAGGACTATCGCCGCTGGGCCAATACCAACAATGCCATCTCACGATTACCTCCCGGGAGCGGCTTCGACGCCCTCGTCGTCGCCCGAGGTATGTCGAACGAGTACCAATCTGCCGAGGACCCGCAAAGCGACAAGACCTCGTGGTTGCGCAATAGCACACTTATCGGGTGGGTGTTTATGGGCCTCGAGATCTGACGTTTTTTGTGCTAAACGGATCATACAATTTGCTACAACCTGGCGCCACCAGATTCTATGCAAACTTTGACGAAAAGGCAAGCATTTGGAAGCGGGCGGGTCCTGCGCCTTACGTCTTGGACCTGCCAGTCTGGCGCCAAACGCCACGCCCCTGCCTCGATCGAGTCGAAGCAGGTCCGGAAGATCCGCGCCTAATGTGGACCGACGAGGGACAGCTCTTGCTCGTCTTTGGAACCACGTCACAGGTATCCAAAGTCTGTCGTTCGATGGCCGTCGTCGACCTCCGTGTCGTCTGGCCCGAGTTTGCGGATCTGATGACTCGGCTCGGACATGGCGACGTCCCGCTTCGTATCGAGGCCGTCACCGAACTGGGCAAAGAGGGTCCCAAGGAGCCTTACGAGAAGAACTGGGCACCGTTCTTCGCTGGCGCATCGGCGCCTTCTCGTCGAGCTCGTATCTACCGGCCCTGGTTCGACTCGTCGAGCGAAGGCTTTACGCCGTCCAACTTTCCGCAGTTTCACGCCAACGTAGTCCCCTCGATCGTTCTACAGACGGCGAGCGATCCGGACCTCCTCGCATTGCCGGTAGAAAAGGTAGCTTTGACGGGCTCGACCACAAAGACCGACTACATGACCCTGGTCGAATCCGAATCATCCACTCCGTCGATCGCCAATGACCTCCTTTCCGAAGCTGCAAACACCTGCTTTCAAGCGAGCTTCCCAAACTTTCAAATCCATTCGATACATCAAGCTACGCCGTATTACAGGGTGACTCTGTGTCCTCGCGGGACTTGCAAGCCGGACTCGACCAACACCGTCCTGTTCGCGTTGGGTCATCTCAAGATATCTTGGAACGAGTACAGAAGGTAAGTTCATCGTCCCCTTGCCGAGAATCGGCACATCCATACTGATTTTATACCTTGCCACAGATTCTTCATGACGCTTTCGGTGGATGCACCACATGCGCCTATATCCGTTTCTCAGCCGGTTCATCTAGGTGAGCATCGTCCCGGGGTGCTCTAGTCTGGCCCATTAGTCGGGGTACTGACAATGCCTGACTTGCTCGCTTGTAGGCTCACACGAGTTCGACTCGGGTGTAGTCTTTGCGGTCAGCGCGGCATTCTTCCCCTCGTCGCATGTGTTTGGTGGTTCGGACGGCGCCAATGACAATACCACGGAGAGCGATCCTTTCTTCAAGCAAGAATCGTGGGACCCGTCTCCGGAATCACACCTCGGCCACGGGTGGTTGGACGATACCCTCATCATCGGAGCCGGTTGGAAAGACACCGAAATGGCTTCGTTTCACATGCCGCTAGCTAGCGCTTTGAAACAGCATCGTCTGTGTTGATGGACTTTATTCTGTTCGATCGAGGGCGTCTTGGGATATTGCGTGTCGTTCTCTGTAGGATCTGCATAGACCTGTTGACTCAGGAGTAAGGTTGTAACGCTATCATAATATCATCGACTTTTGCGTATACCGTCGAGAAGGTGCCAGGCCAAAGCTTCCGTCTGAGGGTATCATCACGGGACTGTTTTCTCGCTAAGAGTTGAACGACTGGAAACTGGTCTAGGTGCCGGGCCTTGAGCGGAAGCACAAGACACTGTAGGTCTTGAGAAGACTTTAGTACTTGGAAGTTGGGACTATTCGATCCGTCGTGCAAAAGATACTACAAGCCGGATATGGCATCTGTTCGTCACCACCGCGCACTCGAAAACAACATAGCGGGAAGATGATTAATGTTACACCTGACTGAAGATTACATCTATAGGATACAACATTCGGATCGCATTCCAAATTTAACGACTAGATGCCCTGCTTGCGTGATGCTATCCTATCGTACCCGTCGGCTAAATCCAATCCTCCAATTTCCGATGGTACCGCTCACACGTCTCGTGAGGTGGAGCTTCGGCGCAGACGAGGAACGCAACGAGCTTGTAAGTATTGCGATATGCATCTAGAGATTCCCCACCCATAGTCACGCGAGTCGTTCCTCTCTCTGTCATACTTCTATACCGTAACCCTCCATGATACAAAGCCGAAGGAAATGTCCCATTCTACACATCGATTGTCGAGGGGGCGTTACATGTAGTCGTGATTCCGTGATTCGTCCAGCATCATGTGGAACATTAGATCGGCCCAATAGTTCTGGACTCCCACGCGGCACCAGTGCAAGCAGTCGTTGCCAGGGGCTGCAAGAAGGATCGATCGAACGCATGTAATTCAGTCACGTCGAAATTTTGCGAGGTAGGATGTGCGATAGTAGCAGTGGTAGGTAAAACTCCACCACGCCACTCACCCAAATGCGCATCGGCCCGCTTGGCAGACATCGGCCAGACGTCCATCACCCGGAAACCGGGATTACGTCCAGCGGAATCGAGCTCGGGATCCGCCATGAAATCAAAGGCCCCAGGCGCTCTGCTCGATGATCGGGCCTTCCACATGATCCCGTTGAAGGAGGAGAACGTGTTGCTGCACAAGACGCGAGCGAGAGGTATATACGTAAGTTTGTGTGTATGTGAGAGAAAGGTAAGACGCCGGGACTCACTAGTTGTGTGCGTTGGCTCGAATATCAGCCTCGGACCTGAACCCCGTCTGGTAGTTGTCCGCTGCGAACGTTGCCCGCAATCTTGTTCAGTATCAACGGGGCGGCTAGCTGATATCTCGCATGCCTCCTGCTCACGTTGCCAAGCTGTCGCACAGCCTACATGACCCGGCGCCATCGTCCTGATCACGGGGGAGAGGGGGATCGGAGCGTTCCTCAATTTCTCCTCCATCATGTTGACCTACGACGCGACGGGCAAAGGTTCGGTTTTCCCAGGTCAGCGAATTTGTAACGATAGCCGCCTCGGTCACGGGGAACTACGCAGGTGATACTAACGATATTCTCCATCCCTTCTAGGTAATCGAGAGGGGTCAAGTCTTTACCCAGTTCGTACCAAACCAGATGCGCCCCGAGGTTCAATACGATCATCGTGGGTTCCTCCAACGCCTCGCTATCCGGCCTGATGAACACCTCTGTCCTAGTCGCTTGCTCGATCATCGGTTCGTACCAGTCCTTGCCGGTCTCCCTCTCCGGGTTCAGGCTGTACCGGTCCCCGGCAAAGGCGAACGCGGAGACTTTTTCCAGGTCGGTGGCGAGGTGGTGATGTCGCCAGAACTTGATCAAGGGGGTACGGAGCCTGTCCTCGGTCACCCCGGCTTCGGCGAGTAGGGAGGGGATCTCGGGGTGGGAAGGGACGAGGTGGAGAC